GGTAAAGTTCAAAAGAAAGGTTTTACATTCACTTATGGTGGTTCTAGAATTTGCATAATTATTATAATTTCGAAATTGCGAATTATTCCAATTCGTTACAAACCGCAAGAGTTCACTCAGTTGACATCATCGGCTTTTATTTTTTCCGAGAATTAGCGGTTTGAATGTGCCAATCTCCTTGATAAGTGTACAGAGAAAATGCACTAACCTTGGGAAAGTAACCACCTATTTGTAGGGCAAAATCTAAGGAAAATTCCCAACAAACTGAAGAAATAAATCGCAAAAGCTATTTGCAGTTGACAATTGTCCTCGCAAATTGCAAAATTAAATGGAGTAATGATGTAACATTTGTAGGTAACATAAGTTTTGTCATTTTTTTGTAGGTGACTTCCACAAATACTAAAATGGAAAATTAAAATAAATGGGTGCTTCACAGCGCTCCATTTAATGAAGCACTCGGTCTATAATTCTTACCTCAACAGAAATAATAATTTGATTTAAATCTGATAATAATTTATTGCATGTACTTTTATAATAGGTAATAAATTGGTTTGTTGTTCTTATTACTCCTTGAGCGCATCTTGTTAGTAACGTAACAGTGGCGTTAAATACTCCTAATTGTTACGTGTCATAACATTGCATGCCGTTACATTTATTAGTTTTGTCATTATCACGTTTCACTTCTTCGAAAAATCCAACATGAGACACCCGGAAAAAACAAACCGTTGCTCCAAAGTGTAACAATATTCCGATTTCACTTTCGTTCGGTAATATTTTGACATTCTAAGTGTGCGTTTTATTTCCTCGAAGTCTCGGATATTGTTACATAATCCAGCTTCCCGACCAAGTCCATTGCAACACTAGGTGTTGGTCAGACCGTCAAATATTAATTTAACATGATTAAAATTCTGAGCGGTTTTAATTTCGCCATGGGCCGAATGTTGAAATAACCGATGAAAATTCAACGCAGGTGATGTCCTCGGCTTACTTCTTGATTTGTTTCGAGTAAACAATAATATCGATCAGAGTTTTCTTGTTTGTGAGAAAATCGAGTGTAGGTTAGTAGGTCTAGGAAATTGGCGGGATCGGATCGGAATCGCAGCGCATCGCTGATTCATTGAGTATGCTAATCTCCGGAAAATAATCCTTGATAACACGCGAATTGCAGATTATTATTGGGTCAGAGCTTGCAACAGATTTATGCTTACGCATTAATCAGGATTTGATTGTGATTGCAAGGTCGGGGAGCTCACAGTGAATGACCTGCCGAAGAGTTGCCAAATTTGACACCTGAACATCCATCATTCTAAATAGATAATTAAAAAGTGACTTTAATTTTTTTAAAATTATAACCTATCACATATTTAAAAAGCAGTAAGAACAATTATACGAAAAAATATTATTATGAATAATGAAAATAATAGTTATTTATGTATTAAGGTATAATCAACAATTATGCCCGTGGTACATACAACGTTTTATTCTATTTTATAATTTCTAAAAGATTCAAACAAATATTTAGAATTTCTTAAAAATTTGTGTCCATGCAAATTTTAGCGTTGTGTAGAAAGTTAGCTATTTTGATGTTGTTAAGTTTACTGCGTTTGTTTAAAAAACAATTCATTTTTCGAAATGAACGTTTCTGAAGCAGAAAGCGTTTATTCAGAATAAATATTACAAAAATTTGAAACTGCTCAGAGAAAATTGAGTCCCCATAATAAATCAAAGGATTTGTATGTCAAAGAATATGACAAGTTTTGATACCATTGTTTGAATAATTAAACCAACCGTTGCTTGTGAGATTTTTAATAGATCTGTGCCATAAAAACCAATTTATGCCCTCATTTAGGCGTATGAAGATGATTATTGACTAAAATAGAATAAAACAGTTTTAAGATATCGAATTTCGCAGTCCTAAGTGTTGTCTTCAGAACGAACACACATACAGGCTGTCCTAAATAATACCATCTCGCCCAGTAGCTACTCCAGCAATAATGAAATAAAAGCAGTTGAAGATATTAAATATCGAGCGATCAAGATAATTTGTAACCGCATCATCTTTGGATCTGAAAACGTATGTCTATTTTTAACTATAAATGCACATGAAACTTCAAAGAAAATGATAAGTTGAAAGTAAAACGGCAAAATTAGTCGTCGACGTACTCGTATGACAATGGGACTGTTCTTTATTTAAGATAAATTATTATAAATTTAGTTATTAAAATCATCAACTTTTTTATCATGCCATTTTACCTTTCGACTTGTCATTTTATTTGACGTTTCACAGACAAACGTTTTCGAATCCAAGGATGATTCGATTACAAATTACAAATCATCTTGATCTCTCAATATTTACAAATTCTATACATACATAAAAGGCAAAAACAAATTTAATTTTATAAACATATTTATTAAAAATTAACCAGTGTTAGTCTTTTTGATGAACATTTATATTCGGTTTTGTAAAAAGTCAAACTGTGCAACAACTTATTTTTAAACTACATTTATCATAAATGTATTTTTTAAATTTATTTAAAAAAATTAAAACGAGTTTCAGAAAGCATCCATTCAAGTTTGAAATTTCAAAACGACTCGCTCAGAAACATTAAAAACAAAAGATACACTAATCTGTTAAAACACATGCTAAAAAGCTGTTAACGCCCCTAGAATTCAATAAGACAAAATAAAACATTTTTAGAACTTATGAAAATACAATTTTTTCTGTTTTCTATTACTTCCTTTTTGTACCAAGTATATATTCAAACCTCGGTCTAAAAAAAAGCTTCAATTAAAAGATTTTTTAAATCTCATTCTCACATTTTTTGCAAGTTAGAATTTTATTTTTTTTTTTAGAACGAAATAACCCAAAAATATCATACTTAAAAGAAACAAAGTTTTTAAGAATGTTTCAACAAAAACTGTGTCAAAACAATCAGAATCTTAATAAAAAAACTACCCATCAAAAACAGAAGTAAATAAAAAGTGTAATCAGTAAAATAAAGCAAAAATAACTTAAATTATTCAAAAATATTTTTCTGAATTCAATTTTTTAGTACCGGGTGATCAAAAATAGCGGTTGCAATATTTTGCAAAGAGCATGTTTTTAATTGTTGCCATTATTAATCTTACTATATATCTTTTAGACTAAATTAATTCAAATTTGTGGCTTTATTATTAACAAAATTTAACCGGTGTTTCTAGCACGTCTGTGATGTGTAAATAATTTAGGGAAATAGATAATTAAAAAAAAAATTGTAACATACATAGATAAAATCTCTATTATTTGAATGGTTCCTTTGTAGACATTTTATTTCAAAAAATAATAATATAKGACAAAAAGTTCAGTTTTTAATTTGGTTATTTCAAGTATACAGGTTGCCTCAAATTAAGGCATTCCGGGTTTAGAGGGTTGTAGGAGATCTTACTAGCAGTAACAGAAAAATTGTTAAAAAAAGTCGACGACTTCTTCTTACAAATGCATTATCAAAGTCTGAAGATGCAAATTTCGCATCAAATAATCTTCAAATAATCTTCAAATAAAGGCTATAAATGTTGGCATTTAGTTTTATTTATTATGAGCATTGCTAAGTGTAATAACAATCCAAAAAAATCTTTAAAAAGTAACTTTAAGGCGAACAAATTTTATGTGGCAATATTYCCGCATTGAACAGTTAAAAGGCAAATATCTTACAGAGGGTAATTTAAAAAACTGTTCTGTATACAGGGTGTCCCACGAGTAATATTGAGCCTGAAATTTTTTTGAAGCAACCAACATTATTCATAGATAACGTGGATAATAAAATATTTCGTTTTAATTAATTAAACATAGCAATCATATTTTTACTTTTGACAAATTTCTATCAATCAAAATGARTTTATTCCAGTTTTAGGAAGTCCGTCTATTTGGATATCGCGCTGCATAGAAACGTGCAGTCTGCGAAGCGTTTTTCAAACATTCTTCATAAATGAGAATCTTGTTGGTCTTTTCGGCAACATTATTACTCGTGGGACACCTGTATATATTTGTACTTAGTCCAAGAGGTACTCCCTATAACGCTCCGAACTCGGAATGTCTTAATTTTGTGACACCGTGTATAGTACCTACAACTAATAACTAAACAACTAAATAACTAAATCAATAAATGATGACTACAAAATAAATATTTAATTTTTAATTTAATTCTCATTCCTAGTCTCAAAAAACGATTTTAAGTTATTACTCATGCTTATAAATTTTCGAGTTCGAATATCACGTCGTTTTAGTTACATATTATAAATAAACTGTAATTGTTGTGTAATTAAAGAACAAAATAAAACRTATTAAAAAACTATTTACAATAATATCATTTGGTGGTACAAATGGATTGACTTSGAGAATGTTATTAATGCATGTCTAGATAGTTTCGACATTGCTCAAATTTCTACAAAAATTAAAATAATACCTTTTTGTAAAAGAAAAATTTGTTACATATTTTATCAATTAATTACAATTTATAACATAAACGTGATTTTAAAATTTTTGGAATTCTAAAAGAAATATTTTTGGTTCGATTCGATAGCCTACAAGGGATTGAAACATCAAATTTTAGTAAAAACAAACTTGACTTTCTAAAATCATCATTTCTAATTTTATACAAGTTTTCCAAATGTATCTTTAATTATTTTTTAGTGTATAATTTGAATTTTATAATTTTAACAATAACATTTTCGTAGCTTTTGAACATGTGGGTGGCGAGGCGTAAATTTTTTACTGTTGTCTATTGTAATTTATTTTTACAGCGTTACTTTTTCTATTTTATGAAGACTTTGTGTCTTCCTAATTATCTTAATTTCTTAATTGGTTGTCCTGATGTCGAGCAGGCGGGTAAAAGCGCAGCAAACTATTACGAAACAAGTTTTATAACCACTTAAAGGAAAGTTCGCGTGCTACAGTGTACCAGTTTTGTAACATTCCGTTGATTACTCTTAATTAAAACCCCCTAATTGGCGCTATCTTTCAGATGGTCGGGCTAAAAATCGTCGACGAACTCCTCAACAAATCTTTCTACAAGTTGGGCCTGTTGGTGGGCCGCCACCCCGGCTACTTCCTCATCGTACCCGTCCTCCTCACCCTTCTCGGCATCACTGGCTTCCAGAGAATCCACACCAACATCGACCCGGAGTACCTCTTCAGTCCTGTCAACGGCGAGGGCAAAATCGAGCGCGCCATCGTCGAGAGCTTCTTCAAAGTGAACTACACAACTCGATTCAATGTGGCGAGGATAACGAGAGCAGGTAAAAAGAAGCAAAATCTCGTGGGACCCGCAATGGCCCACTGACCCGGTCGATCGTTTCCAGGTCGCTTCGGAAGAGTTATTGTTACGTCGAAGGATGGCAACAAGAATCTCCTCCGAACGGTCATCTGGAAGGAACTGAGACTTCTMGATAACATCATCCAGAATATGACAGTTTACCACGATTTCCAGTACTTTACTTATAAGGATATTTGTGCCAAATGGATGTCGGAGTGCTTCCAAAACGACATCCTCAATCTCGACTACATCATGGATGAGGTAAGTCGAATACTCTCGGTTTTCAAGTCATAAACCGAATCAAGGTCAGTTGTGGTGCATCGCCGCTTTCTTGCGAGGTCACAGGTTGTGGCTTCATTTGCCACAAACGATGAGAACCTTGGCCGGAAGCAATGCCAAAAACCCAATTTGAACCGAATGGAATGTAAATAAACATGCACAGAAATCGAAAATAAATTTCGTTTTTTTTGATAGACGTGGAGTGTAACCTACTGGTAAATTGTGTCAGTAGTTACAGTGAAAATTTTAAGTACCTTCGAGTAATAACTCACTTTTCATGAAAAAAGTAAAAGATGATTTTATTTGTAAACGATCAAATTTAGGTGGTCTAGGTCGAGGCAAACTGGTGGATATTGTTGGGTAATAAGAAGTATATTTAAAAAATAAAACAAATATTTTTGACCTGTCTCGTGCTTATAATCTAAGCACCATTTTAATAAATATTGTGTAAAAAATATATACTTGAATATAATTGTATTAAATTCAAATTAATGTCTCTTATTACTGTTTGATTTAAAATGTAATATTTCTGATGATTAAGTGATGAACCATCTTTAATTTCTAATAAGATGCCTAATATTGTGATTGTTTTTAAATGAAAACTAATTGAGGTCAATGTTAATACCTACTCGTACAATAAATTCTTTTTTTATATTATTTTAACACAGAGAAATTTTTAATTTTACATTTTTAATTATTAAAAATTAGGATTGAATTAAAAACATTTAAAAATATAAAAGATACATTAATCATAAAAATAAGATTAAAAATTGCAGTGCGAATATTGCATTAATAGTTTTTGAGAATAGAGATAAGAATTTTTTGAGTAGGTTATTATTTGAATATTTTCATGAAATATTCCAAAATTAGATGAATTAACAAAAATCTTTTCATTAGAATTAATAAAATAAAAGTTACCTACATACATAACTAAAAATATATATCTACAGAATGCTCCATTAAATACTAAAAGATCATTTCCTAAAATTTAATTAAATTTAAAATTTTAATTATGAGTAAAATGGAAAAGTACAGGAATTATTACTAAACATAATAAATGATGTGAGCTTTAAAGAAATATATAAATAAAATTAATTATTGGTTAAATCTAATTAAAACAATTCTATTTTTTTAATTAATTTTGGTGAAATATTAAATATTATTAAAATTACATACATATTTGGTGACTTAGAAAAATTAAATTAGGTATACAGTATTTAAAATTAAAAACACGTAATTAAGTTTGGATCATTTAGTAAAAGGAAATTATTTAGCAATATCTGCTAATACTCGTATTGTATTTGATTAAACATCTTATACTTATTACAGAACTTATAAACTATAAATTTAAAACGCTGTAATTTGTAGCCTCCCCTTATCACTTTATTTTTTAATAATCTTACTTGCAATAAGATTAATTTCTAAACTTTCGAACTTCTATACTACAAGATAAAAATTTTAGATCCAAATCCGTCAAAAATACATTGATTCAACTTTTTGTGATTTTAATAATAGTTGGTTTTAAACTTTTGTTTTGATGTTGAGAAACTGTGTAACATGTAAATTTAAAAATTTTGACAAAAAATTGCAACTATATTACCAGGAAATATGAGTTCAAAAGAATTTTCGTTACTTTTACATTTTTTCCTTTTTCAAATGACTAATTCTGGATTTTTTACACCAAAAGAAATTTAATATTACGTATTGTATGCAGTCTCTTAAGAGTTCCCTATGAATGACGGCTTTCACTTATGTATGTTTGACAATGAGATTCACAAATGGGTATAATTACAGCAACAAGCTAATAATTTGGAAACAGATTTGCAGTTATTAGTTTTTTAAATGCATCCATATTAAAGGCTTTGTCTCACTAATTAATACAAGTARTTGTATAATTAAAAATAAAGACTCAAAATGGTTAATTTTACTTGAGACGTGCTGCACAAAAAATGTAAATTACCGTTCACTACTTTATTTTTAAATAATTAAACTTTAACTAACGTGCAGACATACTTCACCTTTAATTATCAAAAACGCAGACTATTTTTACATATAATTGCAAACTTTCTCTTAATGAAGGAGATTGGAAGAAAAATGTGTCATACACTGCTGACAATTTATTTTTTCAACGTCTAGTCTAACAAAAATAGCGACTCATTTACTTTTATTATAACAAAATGATTCAATTAAGATTATGTTTTCCCCCATTGTGGTTAAAAACTAAAAATAAAATTAATTGACTCCTGAAAAATTACTCTCCGACTTACAAACTCCGCAACTCTGCAATTGCATCAAGAAACCGCAACTTGCAAGTGAAAGTGGAGCAAATTTCGTCCTAAACGTGGCGCCTGATCCAATCACGTTTTATAGGTCGAAACCGGGGCCCTCAACTTGACTTTTCCCTTAATGTTCAACCCTGTTACTTGGGACGCCCACGCATTTCCAGTCTTCTTCGGTGGAACGCAAGTCAGTGAAGATGGACTCATAATAAGTGTTCCTTCGGTCCAACTAGTTTATTTCGGAAATGCAGACACCAAAAAGTTGGACGAAATGTAGGTTTCTTGGGTCAAAAAGACGCATTTTATAATAAAATTGTGTAGGGGCTCAGCTTGGGAAGACGCTTTCTTGGACTCTGTGGGCAAAGCCCAAGACGATGGGCTTTTCAAACATATAAGAATCGCGAGGTTTGCATCTAGGACGCTAGACCACGAGCTTGAGAAAAACACCAGATCCGTTATTCCGTATTTTACGTCAACGTTTCTCGTCATGGCAATTTTTTCAATCGGTACTGAAATTAATTAAAACTTAAACTAAAAAAAATAATATTTTTCGTTTTCAGTAACTTGTATGATGACAGATTGGGTCCGTTCTAAACCTTGGTTAGGTCTTTTGGGGAATTTGAGTGCCGCAATGGCAACATTATGTGCTTTCGGTGTCTGCATGTATGCCGGAGTCGATTTTATTGGAATTAATCTAGCAGCACCATTTTTAATGATTGGTAAGTCAAAAGTGGGTGAAAACAAGTTTTTAGTGATTTTTCCAGGTATTGGTATTGACGACACTTTCGTAATGTTGGCCGCTTGGCGCCGGACTTCGATCAAAACCTCGGTCCCGGAAAGAATGGCACAAATGTTAAGCGAAGCTGCGGTTTCAATAACCATAACTTCAGTCACCGATTTCTTCAGTTTCTGGATCGGAATTTTCAGTCCTTTTCCCTCAGTCACAATCTTTTGCATTTATTCGGGTACTGAAACCACTTTTGTGTTGTATTTTTTTTWAATTGTGTTGTAGGAGCCGCGACTTGCTTCCTCTTTGTGTGGCACTTGACCTTTTTCGCCGCTTGTGTCGCAATTTCGGGCTATTGTGAGCAGAAGAATCTCCATGCCATCGCTTGTGTGAAAGTGCAACCGTTATCAAAGTCACGTAAGTTTTTTTGAGGAAATTCTGACCTATCATTACGTAAAACTCATCGATAACCGTATCAAGTCGGAGGCTTTCTTCTTCCGGTTACGCAATTGTTTCGAATTTTCTCCGTTAATTTTTCAAGCTATTAATTATATCAAATCGCGAGTTGWGGAAACGGAGAAAGTGGCGCCTATTTGTAACACAATTAAATTTTTCAGAGCACAGATGGTGGCTTTACCGCGTGTTCTGCTCCGGAGGAGTGGATCCGGACGATATGGACAACCCCATCGACAACCAAGAGCATGGAATGATGGTGTTTTTCCGGGACTATTTCGCTACGTTCCTCAATTATGGTCTAGTCAAAGTTATCATTATTCTCATCTTTGGGGTTTATTTATTGGGTGCTGGGTATGGGGTCACGCAGATTGAAGAAGGACTCGAACGAAGAAAAGTTGCGAAAAATGACTCTTACGCAATCGAATTCTTCGACCGAGAAGACGACTATTATCGCGAATTTCCCTATCGAATACAGGTTGTAGTTGCCGGCGAGTATGATTATTCCGACCCGGAAATACAAAGACAAGTCGAGAATCTAACCCAGACTTTCGAAAACACTTCCTATGTGTCGAACACGCTGTATACGGAGTCGTGGTTGAGAAGCTTCGTACAGTACGCTGAACGAAATGAAGATTTTTTGAACATCTCGATCAAGACGAAAGAAGGATTTATTACAGCTCTGAAAGAAGTAAGTCTCTCAATATTGTTTTCAAACGTTCTAATTTTCTAAATAGATAAAGTGACCAACCGTCCTGATTTAGCCAGGACATAGTTTTAGGTTTTTATTGTGATGTCCTGTTTTACGTTTATGTCCTGATTTGTCCCGATTTAAGGATTAATAAACCTAAGTGTGCAGTATTTGGATATTTTCATTTGCAGCAAAAACAAAGTGTCTTTTAAGTTGAAAAATTTTCTTTTTGACGTCATTTCAAATGTGATCATTGTGAAAAAACTCAACTTACTGAAAGTAGAAACACTTAAAAATCGCTTGTAATGACCAAATGAAATATTAATTTGGCTTCTATAGATGAAAAAAAAAATGTTTATTCCTTGACACTGTCAAAATTTACGGTTTTTCTCCCGTGTAAGGAAGTTTTGACAACTGTTTGGCATTTCTCAATACAAAACGTCAAGTTATTTATAACAGATTTAAAGCAAGTTTAAGTCTTGTTGAGTCTAATTCGAAGAATAAAATGTTGTATTCAATTCGTTTGAGTGTAAATCGGACGCTTTAATCCACCTCGTGAAAAAATCCACTCGGTCAAATAAAGCGTCCGATTTACACTCAAACTCGTCGAATAACTATTGCAGAGAATGAAGAGATTTTCAAAGCAATTCATATAAAAAAAATTGAAATTAACACAAGACAATGAATTAATAATATGTTAATTATTAGATTAAGGTCCAATTTTTTTTATATTTCATGTACAGTTGCGGAGTTAAAATTTCGGGCAGTATTGTCATTTTCATAATGTAAACTCTAAAACAACCTTTACATTAATAACCTCATTTTTGACTCTTGTCATGTTTATGTCATTTTGACTTGAAAAATAGCGTCATTGACAGCAAAGTTAATTGTCAAATGTCAGTCATGATAATAGTAAAAAGTGAACTTTTTGAAGTGACAGAAAAATACTGCCCGAAATTTTAATACAGTAACTGTACGTAAATATTTTGCATTCTATAGGTATTCTTATTATATTTAAATTTCTATACCGTTACAGTGATAGGAGGATCTATTTAATTTTTTATTTTGTGTTCTGGAATACAATTATAATCATTTTTAATAATGTCCCAATTTTGAATTTTCTGAAGTTGGTCACCTTCGCATCACTCATTATTGACCATTTTTCAGTTCTGGCTGGCTCCCACCAGCCCTTTTTCCCTCGATGTGAAATTCAATGACGCCGGAGACTCAATAGTCGGCATGCGATTTCTCATTCAAGCCGTCAACATCTCCGGCACCGAACACGAGAAGGAAATGGTGCGAGCCTTGCGAAAAATCTGCAAAGAGTCTCCACTCAACGTCAGTGTCTTCCACCCTTACTTCGTTTTCTTTGACCAGGTAAACCTCCCCCTAACCCAACACAACCAAAACTAAGCCAAAATTTTACAGTTCGAGCTAGTCCGGCCCTTATCCATCCAAAACATGATCGTGGGGGCTGGAGTTATGATGGTGGTGTCGTTCATTTTCATCCCGAATATCCTGTGCTCTTTGTGGGTGGCCTTCAGCATACTTTCCATAGAAGCAGGAGTGGTGGGATATATGGCCTTGTGGCATGTCAATCTCGACTCAATTTCGATGATCAACTTGATAATGTGCATAGGGTTCAGTGTTGACTTRACAGCTCACATTTGTTACGCTTACATGTCTTCGACGGCGAAGACACCCGATGAGAAGGTTCGAGAGTGTCTCTACGCACTTGGACTTCCGATTTTCCAAGGAGCAGTCAGTACGATTCTAGGGATGATCGCTCTCCTCCTTGCAAATAACTACATTTTTGCCGTTTTCTTCAAAATGGTGTTTTTGGTGGTGTTTTGTGGGGCCATGCACGGCCTACTACTACTCCCAGTCCTTTTGTCACTCTTCGGACCTGGGTCTTGCACTTCCGGTCAAAAAAATGAAGACATCAAAATGTCAAATGTTGAAAAAGCGTTACCTCACCCCTACTGTATCCCCCACCCACAATTTACCCTCAACGGAAGCAATCTGGGCAATAACCTAAAATGCCAAAAATTGGAAACATTGGAAAAGTACACAAAGAAYTCTTTKAAAAATTACGACATGGAAAAAGATCTAGGTTTGGGCACTTCTGAGGAAAATTCAAGCGAGTCGTCAAGTCACTCAAACAAGAAACCCCCAGTGGAGGAGGAAATGGTGGAGCGGAGGTACCGGGAGGCTTGGAGGAGGAATTCGGACACGATGAGTCAGTTTCACACATCCCAAGTTTTGGATATTTTTGGGAATGACTCGGAACGGGAATATTACCGCAGGTTGGAGGAGAATAGAAGGAGGTTTTATGAAAACAATCCCGAGACGAGGAGGGTCAATGACCAAAGACACAGGAGGAGGTATTCACCCCCCGAGCAACGGTATTACAGGAATCAAGGATTAGCGAGATCGAGTTCGTATCACAATATCGTTCATCCGAGATACATTCAAGAGTTGAGATTTCCGTGACTTTAGTTGATTTTTAGTGTGATAAGTTCCGAACTGTTGATAAAGTTGTCGAGGTTTTGACGATGTGCTCAATGTTCTAGTTATAAGTTGTACAGATACGATTTTGTATAAATTATTTTTGCATTAATACGAAATAAATAAGACTAAGAATAAAGTTCGAATTTTTATTTATTCATTGTGTTTCATTTTTCTTATACGACGAGAGGATAAGGACAAAGAGTAATCTGGAATTTCCCAAGTCAAAATAAAACGATTTAACCAAGTTGCACTATTTAAAAGTTAGAGACCGCCAATAAAATTATGATTTCTTTGGTTAGAGTAATAATTAATTACATTATTGTTAACTAATACAAACATACATAAAGAAACTAAAATCTAAAAATTTATTTTTATACAATTTCAAAATCACTAATAATAAATAGCCAACGTCCGATATTTTGACACGTCTACTTAAATTATATTTTATTTAAAACCAAGGCCGAAACAAAAACTTTATAAGATACAAAAATTGTTGAAACATAATGTGCCTTTCGAATAAAAAAATACGCCATTCGGATTACGTATAACAAAAATATGGCTTAAAATGTGTTAACTTGGTAATAGATAAGTACTTTACAGTAACAATAAAACAAAACAAATAGTACCAAAACATGTGGCCTTGATAACAATTTAAAAAAATGGATTAGGTACTCCCTTAAAATGTTATTGAAAAAAAAATATTTTTTTAATTTTGGCGTCCTCTAACTTTTAATCGGTAAAATTTGGTATAAAGGTAAGTTGGGTTTACTTTGACCTGGGGACTCTCATGTTACTCTTTGTCCCCATCTTTTCGTTACACCCTGTATTGATTATAAAAAATAAAACTAAATATTTTATGCATAAAAATGCTAGACAAACAAAAATTACAAATTAAAGAAATTTAAACTTAATATCTACACCAATATTTTTGGTGCAATATACGTAAACTGAAGTGTAGATACGATATTATAAAAACAATAAATTATGAATTAAAGTCCGATTGCTAATTTTATTCTAGAACAAAAAATAAATTGTGATATTGTTTTCCTTACAGTAGTAAATGATGTGATAGTGTCTAAAGCAATTTGAATTTTTATTTAAGTTCTGTTTCATAGTCACGGAAGAAAGTACTTCTAAAAAAAGATTTAGTTTTAATGTGGAGCAATTCTAGACAAATAGTATTACTTCAGGATTAGATTCGTATAAACATTTAGAGATTTCGTAAGCAGCGATACATTTATCGTCTAGAGTTTTAGCTTCAAATAAGAATTATTAGTTTATAAAATATGATAAATTACAAAAAAATACCGGCATCTTTGCATAATTTTGCTGCCTCAATTGATGCATCTTTTAGAGCAGTGGGTAAGTTTTTCTCAGCCAAAATTAACGCATAGTCCAGGTTAAAAACATTATCTTTTGTGATCTAAAAACCATATTAGCAAACAATAATTCAAACAAAATTCTTACCAATTTGTTTGAATTGAGAGCGCAATGCATGTAACACTAGAATATTTGAAAAATAATTACTGAATTTGTTAAAATAGAGAAAAATACCATTGCAGTATGGTCAATATTCCAATCCCCTTGATGCATCTTCTCAATATCCTCTAATAATAATAAAAATAAAAACATTATTGTATTAAAAATGGATTACTTACCAGTTGTCGCTTTACTTTTCGGTTGACACATATTCCTAACAAGCTTAACCGCTGCTTTTAACTGAGTTTCGGACATCTACAACAATTTTAGTATATTTTCAATTCAATAAAAATTATTGTGTCTCACCGCAGCTTCTGTAAATTCGAAAAAAATTAAACATGAGCACAAAAATGGAAAATACTTCATCTTCGTGTAACACTGAATTCCTTCATTGATTTTGTGGAAAAAAGCCTGGTTAATAAATAGTTAGTCTAGAGGAAATTCGTAATTAAAAAAGCAATTCTATTATGATTAATTCCTCCTTGTGTATCTGTAATTAGGTCGATAAATACATAAGTCCAATACAAATTTTTTCAATTTGTAATTAAGGAGACGCAGTTCCTACTTGTCACTTCCTTTTATTTGCAGTTACATATATGTCTAGAACAACACAGAACTTGTAAATGAAATTTCTTTGGATTGATTGTTTAAAAAAAACTGACACAGTTAACTGCAATGTTTGATAATGATTGTTAATCATTAATTTAAGGCATATCTGTTCTTTTATTAATATTCAGCTTTATTAAATTATATATTTATTTCTCCGTCACATTTTGGGCGTAATAAATCCTTCATATAGTTTAAAAACTTTGCAAAATTATTAAAAACTAAATGTATCATCGATTATACAGAGTCGCTAAAAAGTATAGATACAGTTAAATATTATAAAAACTATTCATCAAAGCTTATTGAAACTTGGTATACGCTTAAAAGTATTTAAATTACATCGCCTCATATGTTATCAAACTTCTATCGCCATTTGTTCTCTGGATACAAGGCTAACTTGATTTTTCTTAAAAGCATTTTATTCTGAGTTCTGTGATGTAACACATTCATAATACCTTATTTAGAAAAAAATTATCGAACTAATTAAATTTTGAAAAATGTAAACTTTTTTTAGCCTAGGAAATGTTGTTTTTATCTATCGTTAGCTCTTTTCCGCCTGAACTTTGACCAAAAAATAGGTAAATTGTTTCTCAAATTTCTACGTGTTCTGTTAAACCGTTATGAAAATATTTAGCTGTATCCATACTTTTTAGCGACTCTGTATATGTTTCCCCTTTGGTTTACTCTTAACAATACTGCATTTAACTTAAAAGTAATAAAAATTTTACTGGGTTTTTGCAAAACGTCTTTTCTCTACATTTACTATAGTAAGTTTTCTATTATATGCGTGTAGATCAATTAATAATTCGAAAGATGTACCAGATAGCTGTCTCTTTTCAACATTTATAAACAGCCTTGTTGTCGCTACGAAAAGTCGATCACGCCATTTATCTCACATTAACAAATGCAAAAATTCTTGAAAACAAAAATTTAACTAGCGTTTACGTAGTTAGGCTACGGCCGGTAGATAATCTACGACCGGACTAGTCCGGTAAATTTTATCTACCGGACCCATTTGTAACTATGTAAACGCTAGTTACCAATTCAGTATTTTAGAAAAGGTTTTATAGTGAATTGCCATTTTGCATAACTCAATAACAAAAAAAATTTCGAATAGTTTTTTTTGTTGCAAGTAAGTACAGTCGTGGAATTAAAATTTCGGGCAGTATTGTCATTTCCATAATGTAAACTCTAAAACAACCTTTACATTAATAACCTCAATTTTTACTCTTGTCACGTTTATGTCATTTTGACTTATTTACTTTCAAATATAGTGATTTGTGGCATAAAAACGGGTAGGCTGTAGATCAAAGCGATGATTTAATTACACTTAGTTCAATTAATAATTTTTTTAAGAGAGACAAATTATTTAATTAACAATTTTAACAATAACAAAAAATAAGTTTAATGGTCAAATGTCAGTCATGATGACAGAAAAAGATAGTTTACAGTGAACTTTTTAAAGTGACAGAAAAATTCTGCCTAAAATTTTCATTCCGCAACTGTACCTAAAAGTTGTTGCAAACAAATCGTTCCTGTTTCCGAACGAGGCGAAGCCGAGTCTGGAATAGCAGATGAGTCAACGCCGAGTTGACTCGCTCGACGCCGAGTTCATTCGCCCAAAAACAAAACACAAACATGCTATTAAATTGTTTGTATCAAGATAACCAGTAATCGAGTCATCCTTGGATCCGAAAACGTATGTCTGTGAAACGTCAAATAAAATAACAAGTCGAAAGGTAAAATGGCATGATCAAAAAGCTGATGATTTTAATAACTAAATTTATGATTTACCTTCAAAAAAGAATGGTCCTATTGTTATACGAGTACGTCGGTGACTAATTCCAGCCCATTTTGCCGTTTTAGCCTTCAACTTATCATTTCCTTTGACGTTTCATGTGCAGTTAGTTCAAAAATAGACATACGTTTTAAGATCCAAAGATGACTCGATTACAAATTATCTTGATCGCTCGATATTAGGTACAAGAGAGAAAAATTTTTCTTTTCCTCCCACAAGTGGAAATTTTGAGATGGGTTTTGACTTTTCACAAAAATCATTTTACTAAAAATAAAACAAAACTAAATATTCAATGCATAAAAATGCCGTGCAAACAAAATTTAAAAATAATTAAGAAATGTAAACTTATTATATCTACACCAATATTATTGATGTAATAAGCTGAAGTTTTGTGTTAGTATGACATCATAAAAATAATAAATCATGAATTAAGGTCAGATCACTGATTTTATTCTGAAACAAAATAAATTGTAATATTGTTTTCTTATACTTAATAACAAATGATGTGAAAGAGTGTCTAAAACAATTTGAATTTAAGTTCTGTCTCATGGTCACGGGAGAAAGTACATCTGAAAAAAAAAATCAGTTTTAATGTGGAACAATTTTGGACAAATATTACTTCAGGATTGGATTCGTATAAACATTTAGAGATTTCGTAAGCAGCAACACATTTATCGTTCAGAGTTTTAGCTTCAAATAATAATAATTATTAGTTTACAAAATACGATAAATTGCAAAAAATTACCGGCATCTTTGCACAAATTTGCTGCCTCCAATGATGCATCTTTTAAAGGATTGGGTAAGTTTTTCTCAACCCAAATTAACGCATTGTCCAGATGAAAAACATTTCCTTTTGTAATCTAAAAACCGTTTTAGCAAACAGTAATTGAAACAAAATTCTTACCAATTGGTTTGAATTGAGAACACAATGCATGTAGCACTAGAATATTTTAATAATAATTACTAAATTTGTTAAAACAGAAGAAAAAATACCATTGCAGTGTAGTCAATATTCCAATTCCCTTGATGCATCTTCTCAATATCCTCTAATAACAACAAAAATTAAAATATTCGTATTAATAAAAATTGATTTCCTACCAGTTGTTGCTTTACTTTTCGGTTGACACATATTCCTAACAAGCTTAACCATTGCTTTTAATTGAGCTTCGGACAACTACGACAATTTATTCTTATTTAAATTCATTCTTATTTTAGTAAAAATTATTGCCTTACCGTAGCTTCCGTAAATTCCAAAAAAATTAAACATAAACACAAATATGCAAAATACTTCATCTCTAAATGATCGCATGTAACACTGATTTCTTTGACTGATTTTTTGGACAAAGCCTGTTTAATAAATAGTTGGTCTGGAGGATATTTATAATTAAGAATAATTCTATTATGATTAAAATCTTCTTTGCATATCTGTAATTAAGTCGATAAATACATGTAAAGAAGCACGATATCTCCTGTTTAAGGTTCAATTACATTGAAGAAAAAAATTGGAGATTCTACAATTTATAATTAAGGAAGCGCAGTGTTTACTTGTTATTTCCTTTTATTTGCAAATATAAATTTAAAACAATACTACCAAACTTGTGAGTATAATTTCTTTAGATTGATAAAATTGAAAACAGATAACTGCAATGTTTGATTATTGATCATTTTAAATAAATTAACCTTATAATCCAGTGGCAGAGTGGTATTTAGTGAAAACTTCATTTAAGGCATTTCTGTTTATTAATATTCCGATTTATTACATGTATATATTCGTTTCTCCGTGACCTTTTGAGAGTGATAAATCCTTCAGATGGTTTAAAAAACTTTACTAAATTTTAAATTTCGGTATTTAATACTGAATAGTAAATACGTATTCTATAGAATCCCACACCTAGCCTTAAAAAACAAAAGAATTCATTACTTTAATTTAGTACACTTTAGTCTTAAAAATCCTACAAAAAGTGACCAATATATCCAAATAAAGATTAGTAATTTAATCGATTTTTTTTTTGTAAAGATAAATTAATTCTTTCATTTTTCTTATGTTTATTTCACAACATTTAGATTATTAGTTCTAAAATATAAATAACTTTTTAATAAAAAGTAATTATCTTGGAAAAAAATTAAAAATCATAGTTGGCCAATGATTTTGAGGACCCTAAATGTTGATTCTAAACAACTTTTTGTCGCATTTGCCATATAAAATCATTTTACTCTACAAAAAATACTTTTTTTTTTGAAAACTTACAAAGCATAGGTTCTTTATATTTCAAAATTAAAATTATGTTAGTATTTAACCAAGCAGGGCTAAACCCACAGACCACCAATGAGAATGAGAAATTCTCATTGGTGGTCTGTGGCTAAACCGCAGAAAAAAATCTAAATCGAAATTTTTTTATCTTTTACAAGAGTCGTTTTACCTATCCGGAGACACACAGTATATGACACCCTGTATCTGTAAAAGAAACATTCTAAGTAGGGTCGCACGAAAATACAATGTAATATATGTTTCAAATTGCTGTGGACATGTGGTATTAATCTACGACTGATTAAGCTAAGTTTTAATTGTTGTGATAAATTATGTTTGTTGACCGTTAATAGTATTTTATTTATTTTCTGTCTATTTTAAGTACGAGTAGATATAGATGTTTCTTGTTCAATGGATAGTTTTCTCTTAGGACATTTCTAAATGAGTAAAAAAATTAATAGGAATTGAAAGGACAGAAGTAGGAGCAAAAAAATAAATCAAATAATTAAAGTGACACCAATTTATTGAGACTTAATTAATTACATTATGGTAAGAAGTATTTCTAAAAAACAAAACGATAAAGTAAATAAAAGAATATTTTTGAAATAATTTACCTCGGGGTTATCCAGGTACATACAGTGTGCTATCTCATAGGCAGCCTCGCATTTATCTGAAGCAGTTTTAACAGCGTCTTTGCAATTATTTACAGATGCGATAGCAGGGTCTCTAACAGTCTCGGGAGCCTGAGCTTTCAAAACTGCAATTCCGGCTTCCCAATTAAAACTATTATCTTTTCCGATCTAAAATCCAACATTTATTTAGTCTGCACTAGGAACATCGTTGAAAAAATACCAGCTTATACATATTCAAAATGCACCACATGTAACATTTGCCGTTTTTGTCCAAGTCCCAGTTGCCTGAATGCATTCCTTCAATTTGTTCTAAAATAAAATTAATTTTTTCTATTATTATTTTTGTAACAAAAAATGATGCGTTACCATTGGTGGCCTTGGATTTTGGTTGGCACGTATTTCGTACAAGCTTCAACGTAGCTTTCATTTGAGCTTCAGTCATCTGTTTTTAAATTTTTTAAACTAAAAATTGAAACAAAGTTGCTACTTACCGCACAATAAACATGATAAAAGCTTAAAGTTGCAACCAACAGCAACAAAATAGCTTTCATTCTTGTCTATTCACTAACACTAAAATGTAAACAAAAGTAGCAAAACACGATAATTCCATGCTTTTATAAGTTTAATATTCTGCGTACCACACACTAATTTGCATTTTACCCCTTTAATTATTATTTATCAAGTTTTTATATGAATGAATATAAATTTCGAACCGCAAAAAAATGAAGGATCTTTAAGTGATATTTATACAACGTAATAACACACGTTTTCGTTCTAAATCTATAATTTGTTTTTGCTAAAAATTGTAATACAATTTCAGAGGAAATCCTCTACAAGTTAACATTAGAACCAGCTTCTAACATTCATTTTTGCATATTTTAACATATTTACTTTGATGGAGGCTGCAATTTCGATTGCACTTTTATTTTGGCCGTAGTAGTCCACAAACTGACCGTCGGGGTCCACCAAATACATTATAATTGTATGATCGACCTAAAATATTAGAAAATTATGGAAAAATTCATTGCAGACACCACAAACATACAATATAGTCACTATCTTTATCTTTGGGGCCCGCACTGAAGTAAACGCGGTAGGCTTTGCACGCCCTTGCCACTTGTTCTACTGTGCCAGTGAGCCCCAAAAGTCGGGGGCTGAACTCTGCGCAGTATTTCCCCACAACATCGGGAGTGTCTCTCTGGGGATCAACCGAAATAAAGATTGGTTGGACTCGCGGCACATCCTTTGTAGAATCTGTCAAACACAATTTTGCCCCAAACTTATAATTATTTTAATTAATACCTAAATCGTTAATTACTGCCGCCATTTTTTCTAATTCGTCGGGACAAATATCAGGACAGTGGGTAAACCCAAAGTAGATCAACATCCACTGTCCCAAAAAATCCTCGCTTTTGCGCATTTTGCCCTGAGAATCCACCAATTCAAAATAGCCCCCAATTTTGGCTTTACCTAGCATTCTTTTTCTCTCCCTCATCAATGCTTAAAAATTTAGATACTAATTAGTGCCTCCTTAATTAGAGATAATTACCATCCTCTTTCTCTTTCTTTATGTAGTACATAAATGCAAGTAACCCGCCCCCTAGAACACTCGTTATTGCTAAATTGCGCCATGAAATAGGGCCAATGCCTTTGGCGGCTTCTTTTTGCTTAGGTTTGGGGCGCGAACTGTTACTCAAACTCCTGTATTGCAAGTTTTTGGATAAAACCTAAAATTCGGTAAATGAGCCCAAGGTTAAAATATTATTACGGACTCTTACAAAACTGGTATTGGAACTCAGTAACTTCGAGTTTGGCCTTAAAAAGTACTTAATTACTGTAGTTACACAAAATGTGGTCATGATGAGGTTATGTTCGACAATAAATGTTRCCGCTAATGAACCACATAGACTATAGATATCAGATTTTGGTGCAATATTGTTGATTTATTCACACTTTTGCAGGAAATCATGTATTTTCGCTTTAAAGCCTCTTGACAGAATTTTATAGGTTATGTTTTCAGTAACTTCCTTATGTCGTGGTAACCCTGACTGGCATTTTTGCCCACCAAAATGAAAATTTAATACGGTTTTTACTGTTTTTAGTTTAATTATTTATTAACTCCCGGTAAAAATACAATTAAATCAATCATATCCTCAAAAAGGCACTTACTGGTCCCAAAAATACTAGGAAAAACTTAAAAATTACATCACAATTCGCTGTATAAATAAAATACTAATCTTTAATTTTCATATTCCAAATTTTTGATTTTTTCACTCCCACTGATGGTCTTGCAATTGAACTAAATTTAAATTTATTTATGTTGACGTTGGCTCCTAAACCGTTCTTGATGACTTTAAATTCGTCATCGTTTATGTAACTTCCATGGACATCTAAATATGCCAAACTTTTCATTTTCTTTAAAACGCTGCAAAAACATGTCATCAAAAGTCATAATGTATTATTTTGACTCACAGGAGCGACCGATAAGGAATGAGATAACATCGTGATAACGACAAGAAATTTAATTCATCTAACACAGTCAACTTTTTCACAGCATCACCAGTTATGGAAGTACAGTCTGATAAATCTAGTTCACGAAGATTGGGACAATTTGCAACAATTTGAACCACATCTAAAAATAATTATTATTTTCTTCAATGGTGTTTCTACATCGACTTACTTTGGTCATCTAATAATTTTCTACATCCTGAGAAATTGAATCTGTCCACAGTTGGGGGCAAATTTTCACAAACCAAGTCAATACTGACTGAATTTAAATACGTCCAAGACAAATTTAGCTCTCGTATTCTGTGAAAAAATCATTATTTTTGGTCTAATCAATGTGAACTCATACTTTCTACAATTTGTTAATAAATATCTCAATCCGTCAACACCAATTCCCGATGCCATCGCCAAATTAAGAACTTCAAGCTCCCTATTGGCTGAAAGGGCCACAAGAACACTGTCATCAATTGGAACACTTTCTAAACTTAGTTTTTTCAGCCTTCTACATTGGTTAAAAATTGTTACAAGGCTTGGGGGTGATACTGATGCCATTGTGAGATCTAAATACATTAAGCGGCAACGATAATCAGGAAGAGATGCTTTGACATTTGGTAAAATCGGTGGGTCCATTACCTAAAATTCCTGATCAAGTAAAGTGTTTAAAAATTTTTGAAACATACTCTTGTTTTAGACATTTTTAAAATAATCACTTGTCTGCTCAATATTGTACCCATGGCGCCCTTTTCCAACGACCTGTTTGAAATATCCATTCGGGTCCACAAACTCTCGTCCTCCACCAATTGACTAAATCTTCTGCAAACCAAAGCCACATTACCTAGTTGAGTTTTTGATAACTTTTGAAATATGTGTAATATCACTTCATCTGATAACAAGTCGAAATAATCTAAAACTAACTCGTTAAAACCTGCCCTGAGGCTACTATAAACCCTTACTTATGTTACTATTATTACAAGACTTTTTCTCATCGTGAAACATAATATTATCCAACTCTCCCATAGAAAGCTTTTGCAGCGTATTCTCCGGCAGTGAGGCTTCCAATATCGCAATTTGTTCGACTTTGCTAGTAGGGGTTTCACTAGCAGCCCCCGATTTAACATTATGACGTTTCAGTTCTTTTTCAAGAGCAAATTCAGAATCACTCACTAGTCTTTCAACTCCAGAGTCGTAAACCGAATGTAGAATTAACTCATTTTTACTTAAAGTCCACCGATTTGTGTCAGGTAAGTCCATATCATACCGGGCTCTTTTACTGCAAGGGAGGGCTGTCAAGAAATACAAAACTTGAATTGTACACTCACCAAACTGGAGATCTATCAATGTCGACATCGACAGACGACAAAATCCGTTGTGTATCCATCGTTAATTGTAATTTGGATTAAGAAACTTAATTAATCACAGCATTATCAACACATCACTTTACTTATATTTTACCTCCAAACAAAAAATTCAGGCGCCCCCCGTCAAGTGACYTTACYGTACCAACATTGTAGCACAAATGTCACTAAAAGAATAATTAAATAAATTCAATAATTAGAAGGTTTTTTAGGAGAAATGTTTTGTTGGGATTATGTTATAACTCCATTAATGTTATTTTGGTTTGTATTTTTGTTTTTGTTGTGTACAAACAAAATATTTAAAAAAGTTTGTATTTTGAGTTGCATAACAACATTACTATCTCATTTTATTCGGCGGGAATTGCAAATATTTCATTGTATTAATTGTTTTTATGAAAACTGAACTGAATGATAATTTGGGTCATTGTAATTATTGGATATAATAACAGAAGCTGTTACAAACTTTTCTTTTATGTACCTTTGATAATATAATTGAAGTAATCTTTTTCTATAAATCAGTTTCTATTATCTGTTTGAATTATCTTTCTATTCATGTTTGACAAAAATTATCGATGTAGTTGGAAAGCGTTATTTCTTGTGACACGCAATGGTATAATCTAGAGCGTCTAAAATGCGTTTCAAATTGAAAAATAAAGGGCCGAAAAAGCGTTTACAAAATGTGTTTAAATTGTACAAAAATTTGGGCACTAGTTGGCAAGTCCAAACAAAATTATTTTTTGAACATTCGACTCTACATGGAGTGCGATACATTGCTGAGAATGGTCGACCATTTTTAGAAAGGTAATTTACAACCAACTGAAATTGAAAAATAATTAAATTTTAAGATTTATGTGGTTTTCATGTGTGGGAATTGGGGCTGTAGCCACAGTTGTTATTATTGTGAGTTTATGGGACAAGTTTCAGACAAATCCAACTATCACAGGTCTTGACACCGATTTCCACAACTGGAAGGTACCATTTCCTGCGATAACGGTGTGTCAGGAAAAACCGTACAATCTATCACGTATTGAGGAATATTTTGAAGAGTAAAAACACCACAATAAAAATTAAATATAACAATTTTTGTTTCAGTAAATATTCAGACCCGTCTTTGGGCTACTCTGTAGAACTTTTAACCGAACTCACCAAACTTTCATTTGATTCAATACGAGAACTCAAATATAAAATCAAGCCTTCGACTTCTAACACTTTCGATTTAAAGGAAGTTGCGTTCGAGGTAATTTTGCTTGATTTAAATGATTCAAAAATTAGAACATTTTTAACAGTTGATGAACCGTTGCGAAGAAATTTTTGAAAGCTGCGAATTCAAGTCTTATAAAAGCAATTGTTGTGACGATTTTTTTCCAGTTTTCACCGAAAAGGGGTTTTGCTACACTTTCAATTCCAGACACTACGAGAAAAAACTTCCTTGGTTGGGTATTAAGAAAACTAACAAATTTTTCCTTATTTTTTATTTTAGGAACGATACTGTTTCACCAGAATTTCAAATGCGATACATCAAAGAAACCGATCTCGCATGGTCTCTGAAATTTACAGTCAAGGATACTTCAATTAATATGCCTGTAAACATAAATCTCGATATTTTTTCGATTTCATAATATTTTTTAATAGATTTACATCCTTAATTCCGATGAACAAGCCGGCTTAGACATCCAACCCCAACACATTTGGGATTATAAAATAAACAAAATTTCTTTTTCAGTCAAACAAACTTACACAACAGAGGATACGAAACAATTATCAATCAAACAGAGACATTGTGTTTTTTCGGACGAATTAAAGTTGCAAACTGATAACATTTACACTTACACGGCTTGTACAAGACAGTGTAGGATGGACACTTCGATGCGTTTGTGTAAATGTGTCCCATTTTTTTACCCCCAGATTGGCAGTTACAAACATTGCTCTCTTTTGCAACTTTCCTGCATTTGGGAAAATCTGGAAAGTATCAAGTCAGTAGACCACTGTTTTTGCCATTTGGGGTGTTCTAACACGGTTTACGAGGTGGAAAAATTGACAGAAGCGTAGGTTTTGTATCAGACATTTTCCAAATTTAATTTTTACCAATGTAGAACTGGGGATACAGAACGTAATGAGTTGGAAGCGAGGTTTGTCTCGTGGCCCATGGTGCGCTATAAACGCGAAGTCCTGTTTGGTTGGGTCGATTTGTTGGGTAATTAATTAAAAACTCAAACTATTTAAGCAAATTAATTAATTATTTCAAGTGTCGTTTGGCGGCATCGCCGGGTTATTTCTAGGTTTCAGTCTATTGTCCGGGGTCGAAATTTTGTATTATTTCACAATTAGGGCTTGTTGCATGGTTGTGCGAGAAAAACGCGAACTGGAGAAAATACAGTATGAGCAAAAAACGAAATTGCCGGAAGATTACGACTTGAGTCTAATGCCCTATTGTTGCTTTGACCCATTTCCCGGAAATGGGATAAATCAAGTGGCAAAAAGTTACTACAACGAAAATTTGTACCAGAATGTAACTATTCTCCTTGGTTTCTTCGATTTCATGTTTGTTTTCTTGTAGAAAATCGCACCTTTGACGAAGGGAAAGTGGAACCCGTCTGAAAAAATTTTGCCCCCTTTCGGTATAGAATTTATTAATTAAGTAGTTTTCAACTGGCACAAGACACATGGATTACAATACTTGGACAAAATACTTTTCGCGTGTCTAAAATAAGTACAAATACCATTATATAAAAAGTGAAAGGTACACAATAAAATATTTTAAAAACCTAACTATCATTCGATGGTGGCACTTTCATTCTGAAAGTCGTAAAGGGCGTAATTCAATCACATAGGAACATTAATTAACCACCAAAAATTGCGTCTCTTAACGAGACGAAACGACAACCCTAATTTTTATGCTAGTTGTCTCATTTGTCTGTGGCGTTGGGGTTGGTATAACTAAAACCTTGAAACTGGGTCTGATCCATCGATTGTAAAATATTTTGTTCAATTGGAGTTAATTTGGCCTTTTCTGCAGTGAATGTTTTGTCAAAGTATTGCGTATCTAGTGGGTGTTGCTGCAAAAATTCAATTAATTTTAATTGACGGAACAAATAATAACTTACCAAATTGGGTTTAAAAGGTGGTTCTAAGAGTCTTGCCTCAAGCTTGTCCCATTGGATCGGCTTGAAAAATGGCTGGTCTTGGATATCACCAGATGGGCAAAATCTGTTTCCTAATCTCTTGTTTGCATCTTTTTCCAAAAACTAATCAATTAAGAATTAAACCAAAGCAACTAAAAATTAATTTTATTGTTACCAACTGTAGAACAGCGCTAGCTTCTTGCGACAAAAACCGGGGAATCACTGGTTTTTCGTTACAAATGGACCAAAATAATTCGTCTTCGTCACAACCACTGAAAGGCGATTGGCCCAATAACATTTCGTATAAAAGTACACCGAATGACCACCAATCAACACATTGATTATAGTGTTGTCCTTTAATTATCTAAAATTATCAAATTAGGAAACATAAATTTAGAGCAGTTCGAATTACTTCAGGTGCCATATAATCAGGAGTGCCACAAAACGTATCGGCCATTCGGTCCAAAAATATTTGAAGCTTACACATGCCAAAATCTGCTATTCTCACGTGACCGTCAAAGTCCAATAAGATATTATCAAGTTTTAAATCCCTAAAATAAAAAAATAAGAAGAATGGTGGATGCGCCGGTTCTGCCATTTTATTTATTAACGTTTATTACAAAAAACCTTAACATAATACAATTTCTATAAACAGAAAAATGTGAAGAGTTAGAAAACTCTTTTCTATTTTTTATTTATTTTTTAAAAATTTTTTATAGCTACTTTATGACTTTTCTCGCTTCACCGCTTCATGTGTTTTCTAAACCGATTAATCGTCAGCACGTTCTGTATATTAATATTTGTCAGAGATAAATATTTTTGGCTCCCATCAATGCGATTTGATTGATTAACGGAAAATAAAATTGGAATTCGCCGAAATAATTTATGTAGTTTCACCTGAATTTTACGCGAAATTTGTACTGGCTGACGTAACTGTTTGAAATATCGACTGAAACTTCTCTCCGACGTTAATTTGTATGATTTATCCCAACTGGATTTGCTTAAAATTAGAGTAGGAAATGTGGACAGGTAATAAGCGAAATATTAAAAMTCGGGCCGATGAACTGTAATGACCTATCCATAAATGTGGTAAAAATACACGAGTTCTCTTTTTATTGCAAGAGTCCAAGAAATATTATGCAATTTGCTAATTATAGAAAATTTATTGGGTGTTGATTTTGATGTTGTTTAAAATTAACTGAGGTTGAATTACCTGTAAACAATGCCTTTGTTGTGAAGAAATTTCAGGCCTGAAACGATTTCAGCGCCGTAGAAACGGGCTTGAGCTTCGGGAAAACGGCCCGATTGTTGGATGTGAAACATGAGATCGCCGCCGTTTAAATATTCCATCACAAAGAATAAATGTGACTAATAATTTGCACAAAATTATTATTATCATAAACAATTGATTTTTTTTACCTCAGTTTGGAAGGTGCATAGTAGATGGCACAAATAAGGATGTTTCGTTGCCAAAGCTAAAACTTTTCTTTCGATTAAAGTGCACTCAACGTCGTCGTCTTCCAAAACGACGTCTTTTTTCAGGCACTTTATGGCATAATAATATTCAGTATCCTTCAGCTCTGCCAAGAGAACCTGAAATTTTTTGTTGGCAAGCTACTCAGACCAGTTTTGTGTAATATACCTTCCCGAAGCTTCCTTTGCCTAAAACTTTAAGGAAATTGAAGTCTTCAACACAATATTTTCTAAATCGAGGAATTGTCGTTGCTGGCGGTGTTATTCTGCCACTTCTTTGGAAACTGGCAAAAGTACTAGAGTGTGAATACTCTTCTAAGACCTCGTTTGAGTCTAAAGCTAAGGCAGGGTTGTTTGCGGGATTTGTTGTTGGGGAGTCCTGAGTTTCGGTTGATCCTAAAAATACAAAAATGTTTTTAGAGGAAAAATTCAAATTGCTGTTTATTTATTTAGAACAACTGACCGATTTTTTGACAGGTGGACAAATAAAAATAAAACATCATTATTACTGCGTTTACATATTCGCGAATGTAAAATGAAACTAGGACACATTCATTTTCTAGGACAGCTTAAGTACAATAATTACAAAATAATTAGTTTTTTCTAATAATAAAAAATATAAATTGTGTTAAGAGGTCAGTATTTAGTATTTTGTACTATACATGGATAATGAATAAAAGACCAACACAATAATGGATTTCATTTTTATTTGTGTGGTAATTAGTTCCACAATTTGAAAAAAAACAACAGGTCATTGGACCTATTTTTTTATTATTTTTAAAAAAACTGGAGGCGCCGGGTATCGATCCCGGTACCTCTCGCATGCTAAGCGAGCGCTCTACCATCTGAGCTACGCCCCCCGTACTTTATCAAA